TACACACCGCGAGTCTATATTCCAAGTTAAAATCCGCTCTATCCGTTCGTGTAATTACCAGACGGGGGTACGAGCACCGGCGCTAAAATACTTATTATACTGGAGCACGCAATGCCCTAGTTCTTCTACTCATGCTTTGCGGAGGGTTATACTTGCGCAGGTTGTATTACTTAAATGACTAGCTCCGGACTAGCTAGGACCGCCAGGTTTAACCAGGTAGAATTATGCATTTGCTTGTGAAACGGCTCGACGTGTTCCCACTTTCGTTCTTTCGTGCTTTCGTTCCACGACCGGTTTAATGCACGCGCGGTCTCTTCCGTGTCGTTAACCCCTTTGTCGTTTCATGCCAATTATTTTTGGAAGTTCTTTTTTTTTCCCCCTTCCCCCCTTTCACCCCTCGTCTAAATGCTTGACGCGAGTCGCCCTCGCTGCATCGCTCCGGTTGCCTTCAATTTCCTTTTCACGAAATTTTCAGCTGAAAGTCGAGAGAGAGAGAACGTATTTCCAAGACTGTACTTACTTCCGAGTATTTATAATACTTCTTCAGCTTAGTTTTTAATAACGACGAATTTTATCGAAGCACGAAGATCGGTCTGTTTTCTCTTGGTGTATTTATGATGCTACAGGCAGTCACATTTTAAACGTCTGTCGATTAATTTAAAAGAAGCAATTTTATCGCCGATCATTTCGATCAAGCGATTGTTCGATGATAGCCATTCGGCCGAGAAGCGATAATTCGATTCTTCTCCAATTTTCCTATTGCGTGTGAAAACCAATCTCTTCGAACGCTGCCGACAATCTAAAATTGTACTCCATCTGAAAATTGTCTGAATATCTCTTCACCAGCTTTTATATCCAGACTGTGCAAATCTTTCGGAGGTGGTCCGTTAACAATACCAGGATCGAAACTCGCGTGTTAACAATCCTCGTCGACGAGATATGTTAGACTCCTAGATTCGTGGATCTCGTGCAGCCAGTAAACATATTTGTTCGCCGTGGGAATCGCATGTCGAAGAAACAATCGACGCAATCTAGATTCGCCAGCGAGCTCGTGTATGCACGCGCTAGTTTTATCTTCCGCGAATCTCGTTAACGGTGTACAACCAGGGTTCCGGTCAGCTTCGCTTCGGTATTGTTCGCCTTCTCGCCAGAAACTATCGGACCTTTTCACTCCGTTCAACAGTTTCGTTTGTTCATTGTTTATGTATGGAAGACACGAGAAAGAGAGAGAGAGAGAGAGAGAGAGAGAGAGA